TCGGCAGAAAAAATGTTTGTCTCTTCAGCAGAATTTAAAAATAGAAAAATACAAAAATATTTTGAAAATGCCAACATTTACACAAAACGCTGAAAACGTAAATGAAAATTGTAAAATTAATGATATTATAAGTCTTTGGGAGAAAAACAATAATTTCTTCTATTCATATTAGTGAGAATTTGATGTATTTTCGTATAAATTCCCATTAAAATCAAGAAACAAAATTTTTGAAAAAAGGAATTATTTTACTATGAATTACGAATCGTGCCGTGTGAACGGGTTAATTCTTGTACATAATTCTGAGAGCGAACAACGTGATTGAAAGTGTAATGAGAACATAACATTAATGAATTCACGTATTATGTTCGTATCTTTTTAGTTTTCATTAAAGTATCCAATTAATCGGGTATAGGTGGTGTTCGATTAAAAAATTAATAAATTACGGGGTTTTTAATTTGATCAATCGATTAAGAGTCTTAAATTGCTCGAATAAAACCTGCGTGAAGAAGCAGCGTGAAGTTAGCAACGACCATGGTAGAAAATACAGGTAAAAGCAAGTGTTGTTGTACAACAATCGTAACAACAACCACATACAAATTTGTTTTTGTACGTAATACAAGCGTCAGAGTTATGTGTCCAAAAATGTAAACAAAATAATTAATTTTCAATAAATTATTTTAATTTAAAATATATATATTTTTGGAATTTGGAATATTAAATTGAAAATGCAGAAGAATAGTTCTTAAAATATTTAATTTTAATGCTTTCAGATCATTCCGCTTAATGTATAGTTGTTAGCTACTGGTCCTAATCTCTCAACACTTCAAGCAATCGCTAGAAAATCGCGGAGAAGGCAACAATCCTTTCAAGTTGAAACCAAACAGCATACATACATAAAGTATTCTACATATTGAAATTTTAGGATACATGAAATATGCGAATATATTATCTAACGCAAAAAGGTTCCGAACCATCGCCTTTGACGTTTTGTTAAGTACAACGTCGATTTTTTCTATTATTAGGCAAAAAATATGTTCACATTGCCCTGCAGTGAAATTTTATATCAAAAAGGGTATACCTATTGTATATCAAGAAATGGATTTGAATCACAAAACGTCATATCCAGTTTGACACTAGTATTACTATACAAACCTCGTCCAAAATGAACAAATAGAAGTAAAGAAGAGGTCTTCACGATCATTTTCGTATCAATACTTAGCCCAAAACAGTTTTTGGTAGAACAATGTTGGAGATTTTCTGATTTCGAACTGATGGTCAGGACAGAAGATCGGCTCTAGAGGCTTCCCTATACAAACCTCGTCAAAAATGAACTATTAGAATTAAAGACGAGGTCTTCACGATCATTTTCGTATCAATACTTAGTCCAAAATCAGTTTTTGGAAGAACAAAATTTTCAAATTTCTCATATTCCACTGGTGGTCAAGAGGGGAATCTGGCTCTGGAAGCCTCCATATAAAAACTTGGGTGGGAGAAGATCTGTCCCTCCGCAACAATGCATCCAGGTTCCCCTATGATTTATTTTGGGATTTTCATATTTTTTAATGTGGTTATTGAGGCATCCACGGTGGAAAAAAATGCCACACTAAGCGAAGCTCCACGCAAAATTTCTTTATCAGCAGGATCGTACCGCGGTCTTGTGGCGCCGGCAACAAATTTGACGTACTGTGCACAAATATGCAACTTCCTCACTACGTCCCTTTAACCCAAATATGTAAGGTCCATATATTAAACCTACCAAGTAATTCTGTTAAATTAAGCATTAAGTCAAGGCTGTAATATCCGTTACGTATACCGAATTTGAAACAATTCCGGCGAATAATATCGCTAAAATCATCAACATACCGAATATCGGGGGGTACCGCTATATGAGGGCTATACGAAGACGTGGACCTGCACATACATTTTTCTGTCTTATGTTGTAGCATCCATTGCGAACTTTAAATACCAAATTTGAAACAATTCCTAAAATCATCAAAAACCGAATATCGGGGGTACCGTTATATGGGAGCTATACGAAGACGTGGACCTGCACATACAACTTTCTGTCATAGGCTGTAGTATTCATTTCAAACTTCAGGTACCAAATTCGAAAGAATTCCGGTGAATAATGTCGCTAAAATCAACAAAGAACCGAATATTCAAAGGTACTGTTATATGGGGCTATACGAAGACGTGGGCCTGCACAAAATTCCGGGGTTTTTAATTTGATCAATCGATTAAGAGTCTTAAATTGCTCGAATAAAACCTGCGTGAAGAAGCAGCGTGAAGTTAGCAACGACCATGGTAGAAAATACAGGTAAAAGCAAGTGTTGTTGTACAACAATCGTAACAACAACCACATACAAATTTGTTTTTGTACGTAATACAAGCGTCAGAGTTATGTGTCCAAAAATGTAAACAAAATAATTAATTTTCAATAAATTATTTTAATTTAAAATATATATATTTTTGGAATTTGGAATATTAAATTGAAAATGCAGAAGAATAGTTCTTAAAATATTTAATTTTAATGCTTTCAGATCATTCCGCTTAATGTATAGTTGTTAGCTACTGGTCCTGATCTCTCAACACTTCAAGCAATCGCTAGAAAATCGCGGAGAAGGCAACAATCCTTTCAAGTTGAAACCAAACAGCATACATACATAAAGTATTCTACATATTGAAATTTTAGGATACATGAAATATGCGAATATATTATCTAACGCAAAAAGGTTCCGAACCATCGCCTTTGACGTTTTGTTAAGTACAACGTCGATTTTTTCTATTATTAGGCAAAAAATATGTTCACATTGCCCTGCAGTGAAATTTTATATCAAAAAGGGTATACCTATTGTATATCAAGAAATGGATTTGAATCACAAAACGTCATATCCAGTTTGACACTAGTATTACTATACAAACCTCGTCCAAAATGAACAAATAGAAGTAAAGAAGAGGTCTTCACGATCATTTTCGTATCAATACTTAGCCCAAAACAGTTTTTGGTAGAACAATGTTGGAGATTTTCTGATTTCGAACTGATGGTCAGGACAGAAGATCGGCTCTAGAGGCTTCCCTATACAAACCTCGTCAAAAATGAACTATTAGAATTAAAGACGAGGTCTTCACGATCATTTTCGTATCAATACTTAGTCCAAAATCAGTTTTTGGAAGAACAAAATTTTCAAATTTCTCATATTCCACTGGTGGTCAAGAGGGGAATCTGGCTCTGGAAGCCTCCATATAAAAACGTCCAAAAAACGCAATGAGGGATTGAGGAACTTGGGTGGGAGAAGATCTATCCCTCCGCAACAATGCATCCAGGTTCCCCTATGATTTATTTTGGGAATTTCATATTTTTTAATGTGGTTATTGTGGCATCCACGGTGGAAAAAAATGCCACACTAAGCGAAGCTCCACGCAAAATTTGTTTATCAGCAGGATCGTACCGCGGTCTTGTGGCGCCGGCAACAAATTTGACGTACTGTGCACAAATATGCAACTTCCTCACTACGTCCCTTTAACCCAAATATGTAAGGTCCATATATTAAACCTACCAAGTAATTCTGTTAAATTAAGCATTAAGTCAAGGCTGTAATATCCGTTACGTATACCGAATTTGAAACAATTCCGGTGAATAATATCGCTAAAATCATCAACATACCGAATATCGGGGGGTACCGCTATATGAGGGCTATACGAAGACGTGGACCTGCACATACATTTTTCTGTCTTATGTTGTAGTATCCATTGCGAACTTTAAATACCAAATTTGAAACAATTCCTAAAATCATCAAAAACCGAATATCGGGGGTACCGTTATATGGGAGCTATACGAAGACGTGGACCTGCACATACAACTTTCTGTCATAGGCTGTAGTATTCATTTCAAACTTCAGGTACCAAATTCGAAAGAATTCCGGTGAATAATGTCGCTAAAATCAACAAAGAACCGAACATTCAAAGGTACTGTTATATGGGGCTATACGAAGACGTGGGCCTGCACAAACAATATTCTGTCTTAGGCTGTAGCATCCATTTCGAACTTCAAATACCAAATTTGAAACAATTCCAATGAATGTCGGGAGGTACCGACAGCGAAAAACATACTTTCGCCATGACATTTAAAGTTTGCTGCAAATTTGTTTCAACCAATCAGGAACGAGGTGTTTGTTTATATTTTATGTTGTTTGTGGAAATTAAGCAAAGTAATAATACGACTCTCAAGGACCATTGCAACAGCCCTAAGTTGATAGTTAGCCCCTGAAATGATTATACAAGCCCACCACTGTTCTACGTCATCGACAAATACCACTAATATTCCAGCCAATGTTGGTAACCGGAGGTTACACCGACTCCAGCACATGGCACAACACAGTGGTGCCGATTATATCTATTTATCACATTTGAGCAAAACTATCTTGGCTACGCTGGAAATTCATCCTATGACATTAGCTCCATGTCAGCCGTAATACAACAACGCATGTCCTTGAATAGTGCATTGAATCCCCATGCCGGTTCGATGCGTGTTGAGCAGGCCTCAACTTCGCGTGCCGTGAATACTTTTTATTTGTCGAACAACTTGAATTCCAACGAAACGATTAACAATACGTCAAGGTGTTTGAAGCTCATTTAATCAGCGCTATCATTTAAAAAAAAAATCTTGGATGTCATCAAAGATTTGCTAAATGAAGGAACCTTTAATTACAGTGATTCTGGAATACAGTTCCAAGCCATGGACAATTCTCACGTTTCATTGGTTTCCATCAAAGCCCAGGATAATGCCGACACATTTACCTTTATGTTTGAATCGCCCAATCATGAAAAAGTCTCCGACTATGAAATGAATTTTACCAATAAATAAAGAGTGTTATTAAAATATATTGACGAATTTTTATTAATTTTTAAAAAAGTTTTTATTCAACCTTATTACGTTTGGCTTAGTCGTATCGAAAATTGTTGACACTTCGTAACGACTAATTGATATTATGTGTGTCATATTCGAGAAATTACAACTCTGTATGAAATTCTGTTACAATTTTTGTACCACAAGAAGCGTTCTAAATCGACAAACGCTGCAGAATTAGTCGTTACAGATTTTGTTGCCGACAACACACAAAAGTTCCTCCAAATTGACATCAGAAGTTGACGTCGTATGCGAGAAATTACAACTCTGTATGAAATTCTGCTACAATTTTCGTACCACAAGAAGCGTTCTAATTCAACAAACGCTGCAGAATAAGTCGTTAGAGATTTTGTTGCCGACAAAACACAAAAGTTCCTCCAAATTGACATTACAAATATTCAAAATGGAGTTGAATAAGAAGAATTTATTAACATTACAAAAAATATGTGTATGTATATCTATAACAATTTCGCCTTTTTGGATTTAAAGTCACACACATTGCTCACAGACGACTGTGATAAACTGACATGATTAGCGTTGCCAGCGCCCTTTTGCGAACTTCCTTCAGCCAGTATCCGAATTGCCCTCTTACCAGCTACGAAGGTCTAGAGTTATTTGAATGTAAATGTGAGATATTTATTTTTTTTCTCCAACAGTATATGCTGATTTAAATCCCGAAGAAACCAAGACCAAGAAAGGTTCTCATTGCCTCCCTGCTCCAAGCCATCAACTCAATGCCAGTGTCAACTCAAACCCAACAACATTATCCAATGACTAATTGGTGAGTTTGAAAAGAGTAACCAAAACTTTTCCAGGCACAGAAGGGATTTACATTTCTCTGTTTGCTCTCATGGTAGAATCAAGGAGGTAAACTCATGCAATCATATGTTTACAATTTTTTTCAAATATTATTCATTTGACAACATCTCATTGTCAAAATATGTATTTATAAATACATTGTACATACACAAATCAGAGATGGGAACCAGTTTTTATGTAGAAAAATGTGACAAGATAAATTACAGAAAATGCGGAGATGGGTATGCTTATTTGAAACGACTTTACCTTCTTAATTTTACCATGGTTTGCTCTATTCATTTTCCAGGTCCAATGCCCTTCCATTGTGCATCATGAAAAACAGGCCTATGTTATTGACACCAAGAATTTGCAATTTTAAGTCGACACTATTCGATTTAAAAGTTTTACAAACAAATGCACACAATAATCTGTTCCATAGAGTGATGTAGGTTTTAAATATTATTATTATTAAATATTAAATATATTATATAATGAATAATAAAATAAAAATAAACTAACAGCATAAAAAATACAATTATTGCTTTTAAGAAATAAAAATGATGTCGTGTTTATGTTTATTTGCAATTCGCCACAAAAAGAAGAAAAACGAAGGCGAAATATTTTTCGCTTCAAAATAAATTTTGACATTTCGAAGGAGTAAATCAGACAATTCGCCCTTTACATGACCTAATAATTGGGCCATGATTGTTTTCTTTCAAAAGAGAATCAAACCACATTTCTGTAGGAAAAGCTGCCAAACAGACTTATTGTTACATTAACTTTCGATTCTCAACCTTTCGTATTTCCATGCAAAACAGTCTTGTTTTCTACACAATTCGTTTATAATTCCGCTTGCAAATATTCGAAATAATTAGTGGAACAACTCTAGTTTAGTACAAACTTTTCGATTTTTTCGAAATTTTTTCCAGAGGCAGTTTTTTACCCTGATTCCGGGAAACAATTTTTTTCTTGGGGAACGGACTCGATATCCCTGATTTTTGACCCGAAAGTCCGGGTTCAAGACCTCGAATAGGACCCGGATTGTTTATAAAAAACCCCAAAAAGTCGAAAAAGGGCCCATTATGGGGGTCAACCAAAATTATGCTAAATTATTGCTGACACTCTTTCCTTTTCAAAATGCTACAATTTGTGCTAATACCTTTTTCGGGTCCCGGGTATGTCCCCCAAGAAAAAAAAAATGGTTTCCCGAAATCAGGGTAAAAATAATATTTGATATATTGATATTTATATTTTCGACATTTTGTAAAGTTGTTCTCCTAAAATAATTAGTCTTGCTAATTCAAAAAAAAATCAAATTTAAAGCTCAAAAAGAAAGGAACAAACGATAGAAAACATCTGATTGAATATCGATGAATGAGAAGAAGAGTTAAGAGATTGCAGGAAGAAATTTGTCCAGCAAGAATTTGCAAACTATCACTGAATCAACTGTCAAAATTTCTCTCTTCAACCGCTCTCTTTTGCAGAACTTTCGGGTTAACAAACGACTTCCAGTAGCCATTATTACAAATTTTGGGGTAACCAGACACACCTATTGTTTATGCAGATTAAGCCAATTATAAGGTCTTCCTTCGAGCGAATTAATCTAAAAACAGCTGTTATTTTACTAGATGAAATGTCAAAATTAATGCTTGAGGCGAATACGTTTGCTGTCAATTTTTTGTATCGACTCAGTTGCTGGGACAATGAACTGACAAACTGACTTTGAAATTAAAAATGTTGAATGAAAAATTTAGGATATTTGTAAAAATTGTTGAAAAATGCATATCATAACAACCTCCGATTGGTGCCGTATAAGAATACTTATAAAATGTACTTATTAAAAAAACATTTTAACAATTTTGACATACCAATGTTCCCAAGCGTTGATGCATCTACCTATATTCTTCTACCATGGTATAAAAGCTTTACTGCATTGTGGATATGTAAAAATTTTTAAAATGTTTTTTTTTTTTTTTTTTTTCAAAAATTAGTACATTTTATAAATTTTCTTATACGACACTAATAGTAGGTTGTTGATATGTAGTTTTCAACAATTTTTGGAAATTTGAATAACTTTTCATTTAAAATTTTCAATTTAAAAATTGGTTTGACAGTTCATTGCCCCAACAGCTATGCGATGCGACTACCTGTATTCTTCTACTATAGTTTCGAAGTTTGTTTTGGTGCAGCGAATTCAAATTTATTTGACAGATCGTGTGTTAAACAGTTGAGTTGGAAAGGGGTCCTTAAGTGCCCTGGAGACGCTCAAATTTGTTGGTCAAGCATCTTATATGCGTGTGTCCAAGGTAGATGTACTAGGTAATCGCATCAGCCCAGCTGACGGCACCATTAAATGTCAAAACGAATTGTTGTAATGAAGAATTCGCCCTAAATGAATGCAACAACAAATTTGTTTATGTTGTCTTCCCTAAAAGTACCTTTTTATAATATTTCAAATAATTTAAGAGTAAGTTAAGAGTGAAACCAGTAAAAAATTTAAAGAACATGAAGGAAGGAGGTTAGAATGGAGTGCAGCTTTAAGAATTAAGTTAGCCTCAACATCTAAGATTCCCAAAGCACATCACGGGAAGTAGTGCAAGAATTAAACTCTTGTCATTTGCAGTTCCGGAAAACTTTCGGTTTAAACCAATAAAATATAGTCATTATAAGTTTCTTTGTTTAAAAAATATCGCAATACTACAATTAATACTTTTTTTACTCTTATTTGTTTTACAATAAAAACTTTTATTGCGACGTTCGTTTACGACGAGAGGGACATAAAATAAAATGTAAACAAACACCTCGTTTCTGATTGGTTGAAACAAATTTGCCGCAACTTTTAAATGTCATGGCGAATCTATGTTTTTCGCCTTAGATGCCAATTTTGACATTTGAGGGGACCACAAAAGTTGCTCTGTTGTAGCAATTCGCCGATGCGGTTACCTGTTAGATCTACCTTGCGTGTGTCCATGTGAGTCTAATCGGCTTTCGTCGGCTACACCCTTTTGTTGTCGGCTCTGCTTGATGGAAAATCAAAATATTTGATATTTTTATTTGCGCAAATCTATTTGAACGTCTCCATTACTGTTTGCCAAGCAAAATGCCATTTGTGTTGTAACGTTGAGGAGTAAACATGAATAGTAAGTGCGCGGACGAAAAAAAAAAATTACAATATATTGAAATGTACCAATGCCTTGATGCATTGTGGAATGTGCGGACAGACGCGTACAGTAATAGGGATGAGAAGAAAAAACAATATAATATACTCCTTGATTTTTATAAGGAACAGTACTAAAAATTTAAAAATTTCTGTAGTCATCAACACTACTAACTCGCAGCTCCTTCAAAAGGTTTTCATGTGTAAATCTTTTGCGCTGTTCATACCACTTTTTCATCCATATTTTCTTTTTCATTTCCAATTTTTTTAACACAACTGCTGTCACGAAAAGCCACTCATTTTCCGACGACGACACGACTGCACTCAACGAAAATAATTACAAAATGAATGTTTGACAAACTTGTTTGTACGTCTGCGGGCAAAACACGGAGTTACACAGTAATACATACGCACTTGCTTGATAAAAAAAATTTGACCGCCTCCTGGGCACTTTACACTTGGATCATGAGGGGGACCAAGGTAGATGTACTAGGTAATCGCATCAGCCCAGCTGACGGCACCATTAAATGTCAAAACAAATTGTTGTAATGAAGAATTCGCCCTAAATGAATGCAACAACAAATTTGTTTATGTTGTCTTCTCTAAAAAATTTCAAATAATTTAAGAGCAAGTTTAGAGTGAAACCAGTAAAAAAATTAAAAGAAAATGAAGGAAGGAGGTTAGAATGGAGTGCAGCTTTAAGAATTAAGTTAGCCTCCACATTTAAAATTCCCAAAGCACATCACGGGAAGTAGTGCAAGAATTCGACTCTTGTCATTTGCAGTTCCGGAAAACTTTCGGTTTAAACCAGTAAAATATAGTCATTATAAGTTTCTTGGTTTAAAAAATATCGCAATACTACAATTATTACTTATTTTACTCTTTTATTGCGACGTTCGTTTACGACGAGAGGCACACAAAATAAAATGTAAACAAACACCTCGTTTCTGATTGGTTGAAACAAATTTGCCGCAACCTTTAAATGTCATGGCGAATCTATGTTTTTCGCCTTAGATGCCAATTTTGACATTTGAGGGGACCACAAAAGTTGCTTTGTTGTAGCAATTCGCCGATGCGGTTACCTGTTAGATCTACCTTGAGGGGGACCTTATACTTGGATCATGGCGTTATTCTTGAAATTTTAACACTTCAATGTCAACTTTTTTTGTGTGTTGAAAATGGAAACGAATAATACAATACAGTGAAAATATGACAATTTGGGACAATCATGAAAAAGATCTGCCAATAGAACTTGAGTCGAACCTGGAGAGTTTCTAGTGTATAATTCGCATATGCTAATTTGCAATAAGTTCGAAATATATACTACTTTCCAGAGAACGGCCCTTGTAAGCCATCATCCACACCAAATATGCCTGATGAGCCGCTTAACCAACGGCGAAACGCGTCGCATAGTGGTGAGTGTGTGATAGTGTCTATCTGGCTTTCCTTTTCACTGCAAATTCCTGATCATTAAGCTCGTCTCGAAAGAGAAAACAAACACAAAAATCATCAATTTTTACAACGATATTAGTGGGTAGATTTAAATATATGGACCTGGGGTATTTTGGTAATACGAACGTAAATGTTTTACCAAAGTGGGGAAGTTGAATATTTGTGTATGCTACGTCGGATTTTAGGTAACGCTGTTCCGTTTTCATATTGCTCCTACTTTCCGGAATTATCAGAAAGACAACTTCATATTAGACCTAATGTTCGATACTCAAACTTTGGATATTGAAATGCGCCAGATCAGAACATTATTGAGAAAATCCTCCAATCTCGATGGACGCAAATACTTCCGAAACAGCCAACTAATAGTACGTTTCTAAAAATTTCAAAGCGATCATATAGTAAAATGCAGCCATATACATCCTATATGGATATTGTTGTAGCAGTTAAGTCGACGTGATTGTCTTAATTCTAAATTTAAAAGTTCAGCATTTTGATTGGCTGTATCCATGGTACATGAATATAGGTAGATGCATCAACGCTTGAGAACATTGATATGTCAACATTTTTAAGATGTTGTATCAAAAATAAGTATATTTTTATGTTTGTTATACAACGCAAATCGGTGGTTGTTATCATATGAATTTTTCAACAATTTTTAGAAATTTCAATAATTTTTCATTCAACATTTTCAATTCCAAAATCGGTTTCAGCATCTGTGTCGATGCGACTACCCTATTCTTCTACCATTGAGAAAGATGCACCACACTGAACTCCTCGTTTGCAATGAATTGGCTTCGGCCGCAGTGCTGAAGGCGGGGTTTTGAATGGTTTCCCACTGCCTAGTACTGGTACTTGCAAATCACATAGGTGTTTCATAGCTAAAATGTTTTCCTTGGATTTAATACATAAAAAATTGAGATAACGATTTATGAAAACGGAGCATTTTTTATTGATATTAACAAAATTTTAAATATTTAACCTCCGCCACTTTGATTCATCGAAACGTTCAGTAGGGCATTGGTTTGGTTTGTGCTGGTCCCACTAATATTTGTATCATGTAGTAGTGATTGTTGTTGCTGCACCATTTGCTGTTGCAAAGCTGCCGCAGCAGCATGTTGCTGTTGCCTCTGCTGCTGTTGTTGTCTTGCAGCATGTGTGTATTTTGCCTTTGTTTCTTCCAATTCTCGCACTCTTGAACGAACATGTGATATACGATGCCATGCCATCTGAAGGACTTTTGCTGAAGCATATCCAGAACCTTCATGAGGTTGACCGGTAGATACCTGAGTCAGATAATTTATTTGTTCGCTAAGTTTCATTTCTACATTTTGTAAAGACTTTAAAAATTGTGCTGTCTGCGTCTCAGCGCTTTTTTGGGATGACTTTTCTTTGCTCAATTCCTGGAGAGCCTGACCTGTTAAGTTTAATAATTTAGAAATCAACATATATTGTTATTTAAGACCAACCTGCACTTTGTAAACATAAAATAATCTCCTTTTCAATGTCATCCAATGCTTGTATTTTGTCCAATGGATTCATATTTTCTAAAGAATTCATAGCTTACATTGCACTCAAACAATGTTTTTATTGCTGCCGCTGGATATCGAAGTCAGTAAAATTTTAGCTTAATCGGCGGTGAGTATGGTTGAGGTTACTGCGTTACCAAAAATTCGACGTAAAGTCATGGCAGAAGAATACAGGTAGATGCATCAACGCTTGGGACCATTGATATGTCAAAATATTTTAAACGTTTTTCTTTTAAATATAAGTAGATTTTTATATGTTTTCCTATACTACGATTTCTTGTGGTAATTTGTTTTTATATTCTTCTTGCATAGTTGATTTATCTTATTATTTAATCAATTGTTATTTTTGTTCAATTTCAATTTTTGTTAATGTTTAATTTTAATTAAGATTTTTAAGATTAAGAATATTATAAATAATATCAGAGAAGTCATGTATAGAAGTTTTTGGAACCGTCCATGATAAGGATATGTAACTGTATAAATGGAAATAAAATAAATAAATAATTATAAATGAAGCAGGAATTTTTTCGATGATAAGCCTCTCTCACATCAAATCAGCGGATGTCGTTTATGTCGTTTCGGGGATATGAGTGACAATATTGAAGTTACTCAATTCTCAAATGTTAAAAATATCATACGTGAATTATAAAGTGACATTTTTGAAAAACGATGAAATGTATTTAGATTCGAGTAGGTCGTTAGCAATCAATCAATAAAAAAGGACGAATCTACTGAGTAATAACAAAAAAAACCTATGAAAATTTGTAAAAACTGCAGAAGTAATCAATTGAGTATCTTAATTGTAACATAGAACTCATATATTTTGATTTTTTTTTTTCATTCTAGAAAATATTTTGAACCAAAACGCTTGTCTTTTAAATAAAAAAAAATAAACTATTTTTTAAATAATTGAATTTTCCCTTCAATTTGTTGACCCTAAAAAACTGAAATGAAGGGAGAAAACGTTCGTGCAACGCTGTCATGTAGCGACTCAGATCTAGTTCGAGATTAACATCAAGAGAATGCTCCAGCGCAATTTTTTTGCTGCAAGTCAACATGAGTCATTGTTATTGTAGCAGTGCTTATGTTTGGATTCTGCTAAAATGGTTCGAGCTCCAGGTTGAAAAATTCGTCTACCTTAATGGGATGTAATCAGAAATCCCAATTTTACCTTTAGTTTCTTAATTGTAGCATAGAGCGGTTATTACATAAAAAAGTGATGTCAGACACATAAATCGTTTTTCGTTATTACAAGTTTCATTTAAGTATGAACTGTCCGATAAGCAAAAGTTCAGACCAAGGTAAATGATATGGACCTACAACTAACAACTATACATTCAGGGGAATTATATGAAAGCATTAAAGTTTCAAAAATTAACATCAAACGTTCTGCATTTTAAATTTAAATATTATAAATTAAAATAATTTATTGAAAATTAACTGTTTTATTTACATTTTTGGGCAATATAATATCTAATCTTCTACGTCTGGGCCGCCTGGAAATGTCCACGATAAATTAAATTTCAAGGCCAGTGCTGAACATAATCTCAACACCTAGGATTTGAATAAAATTGCACCAGATGGCATGGATTCACCCGCTAGCATCTCCAGCGACATTGCCCAAAATGTATCGGATGTTAACAGTGTACATATGCAGCAGCAGTAACAATTCTCCAATTGTTCTATGCAAAATCAGGGCACCGACACTCCAATGCATATGGCCATACATACACCACATATTCAGCAGCAGAATATGAATATCAGTAATCAAAATCTTAATAATTTGGCCAATAGCCAACAACATAATACCAAACAACAAAATCTTTTTCTTTTTAATTTTTTTTTACTGGTAATCAGGTCAGAAAAAAATACTTTTAGTGAAGAAGACATAAACAAACTTTGTTTTTGTGTTGCATTCATTTAGGGTGAATTTAGCATTGCAACAACTTTTTTTGACATTTAAAGGTGCCGTCAGCTGGGCTTGTAGATCTACCTTGGTTTCAATCTTTTCTGTGTTCGCACCATGGTAGAAGAATATAGGTAGACGCGTCGAGACAGCTGCTGGGACAATGAACTGTCAAACCAATTTTGGAATTGAAAATGTTGAATGAAAAATTATTTAAATTTGTAAAAGTTTTTGAAAAACGCGAAATATAGTAGCCTCCGAATGACGTAGTATAAGAAAACATATAAAAATCTACTTATATTTGAAAAAACATTTACATTTTTTTTTGACATATCAATGCTCCCAAGCGTTGATGCATCTACCTGTATTCTTCTGCCATGGTTCGCACGAACATTTGACACAGTGGGTGGCAGTGTTCGCTGAACATCAGTTGAAAAATATTTTTTTAAAGTGAAGACGTATTTAAAATGTCACAACAATTTCTATCGGAATTTATTAATTGCCTGGAAAATGAACCAGCATTGTGGCAAACAATATATATATACGACTTAAGCATTTTAATTATTACACCACATGTTTCGAAAACTATGCGTCCAAGACTCTGGGGAGAAATTCCATTTAAAAATTTTAAATCTTCATAGCTTTGGCCACTTGCCAAAAAGCGCAAAGTCGCTGAAAGCCTTTCATTTGCACTTATTGCTTCTCTCATTGTAGTATCCTGTCGATGAATTTCTGGAGCTACCAAATTTAATAGAGCTGCATATGTTTCAGCGTCCATTCTAAGAAAATTCTTTAAATCCACCCGAGAACTTTCTTTCAGTTCCTTTAAGAGTTTTGCATGTGTGAACTTTTGGCGCTTTGCGTACCATTCTTTCTTCCATATACTGTGTTTTCTTTTTTTAACTTCCTCCTTATTTTCCTTTTCCTCCAAAAAAACATGTATTGCCATCAAGACAATGACTGTGTCGCGGTCGCTGTCCGATGACATGTTTATGCTAGGAACACAATTGGAGCGAACGACGAATTTCGCCCTACGCGGCGACAAAATGAGCCGCGAAAATTCGTCGTATGGAACACAATACCGACGAAATTATAAAACAGCTGATGAAGTTGTTTACTTTTTGCTCATTTGTTGACTACAATGAATTATACAAGAACACATAATTCTTTACGTTCTCTATTATAATTTCACTTATGTCCATCTTCTCTATTATAAATTCACTGATATCCATCTTCACTCAGGCGCAAGTACACAAATAAATAAACAAATTAATTATGTTTTTTTTATACGAGTAACAGATAGTAGAGTGACCATAACAAATTTTAAAGTAAAAAGTAACTTTATTTACTAAAACACATAAAATTCGTACAAGTATGGCCACCTTGTACTGTTTTGTTCGCCGGTCGCCGGCGTATGAAATAGAAATAAAGCTAATTGAGTTCGCGGCGACCGACGAAATTTTCGCCGGTGCCGTGATTGTGTGCACTTCCATATACACATATGTGTTTTATTTTTGACGACGAACATACGCCGCGAAAAAATTCGTCGTTCGCTCCAATTGTGTTCCTAGCATTACTCGATGAAAATTGTTTACAAATGATGTTCGCGAGCATGTTCGCACTCGTTGGTGGGCAAATGAAATTTTTGTTCGACGAACAGTTCGTCGAACAGATTCGCCTGTTGAGCGAAATAATTATAAGTTTTTCTCTTGATGAAAGGTCGAAGTATTGTTCTTCGTTTTCCATATTCTATTTTAAACAAATTTATTTTTTTCTTGCTACATCATTCAGACCATCGCCAAACATAAGAAAACATAAAAATCTGCTCACATTTGAAAAGACATCTAAAAAATTTTGCGTTGATGCATCTAACTGTATTCTTTTACAATGGTAGAAACATAGGCGATAATTCCAACAAAGCAGCTCTTGGTGTGCCAAATTCAACATTAAGTGTCATAATCAGTGTACGAAAATAAACTATTGCAAACGTTTGCCATCGTTTTGTTCTGTATTTTCCCGAAGTACGAAACAAAGCCAATACTCAGCTAACGGCACTTGTTTTTTGTTTTGTACTGTTTGTGTATGTGAGTGGAAACAAAAACCAAACTTAAATGTACTCTGCTGGATGATGCAACATTGAAAACAATCTCTCCACGCTTACTTGTGTACATGGAATCGATAAAAAATGAATGCAATTGTTGTTACGGTATTGTTTTCAGTTGTCCAGTAGTCTATAATATTTACATTTATTGCTAATATGGGCTGTCTTTCATAAATTAGGAGGTCACGTTCAATATTTTTATAAGTGGCTCACTGCAGGAAGGTCTATCACAAGTTTTAAGGTAAGCTTCAAGTGCATCTTCAGTATTACTTGGTTCGGCACAAGAGGTTGAATTAGAAAATTCAGATTTAGAAAAATATGTAGTGTACAATTATTTCCTGAAAAATATATAAAATCTTTAATGGCCGGTCTTCTGTCATACGAATGGTCTGCCATTTTTAGTAAACAACTCCACTATAGCATTTTCCACACTTTTCTTATCAATTATGCATGACATTTTTAATGCATTTTTATTAACTGGCTGTTCATTTCCCATTTTTATATAGTTTTGATAAAGATTAGGGTGTGCAGTTTTTAAGTATCTTTCTAAATTACCTTCATGTCAGCATAATGTTTTACAGTAGTCTTCGTTTCTGCGCATAAATCGTTTATTTTGATCGTCGAAATCAAAGATTTCTAGTGTTATATCATTTTTTGGACGCAGCATGGTCTTACAAATTTTCAGCTGCTAATTGTCATCGTAGATAAATATAGGTAGATTTATTAGTGTAAACAAATGTGAACAGTTTAATGTGAACATTGAAAATTAAAAAATGCTATAATGCTTTAAAAATAAATAGATTTTTAAATAATGTTTTGTACAATGTGATTGGTGTCGTTTTTATTATAGTTAAAAAAGTTTAACAAACAATCAAATTTTTAATTTAAATTTACATTTTTGACAGTTCATTGTATCACTAGCTTTTTGAATACACTCAGTGTTGCCAGTATTGTGCAAAAATATATAGGCAGTTTTGTTTGGCAATGGTCTGAATGATGTAGCAAGAAAAAAATAAATTTGTTTAAAATAGAATATGGAAAACGAAGAACCATTATCTTTATATAGAAAAATCACAAATTAGAATCGGTTTCG